GTGCCTCCTGGGGTGCTGGGTGCTCCCTGGGGTACTGGGTGCTTCCTAGGGTGCTGGGTTCCTCCTGGGGTGCTGGGTGCTTCCTGGCGTGCTGGGTGCTTGCTGGGGGACCAAAAGGTATCTCTCCTGCCTACTCGGTTGCCTGGAGTGACTGGAACTGCCCTCTCCTAGTTAATCTGGCTTAATCTGATGTCTGGTTCCCTATTTCTGTGTCCATTGTTTATGCTCATATGCATGCATACAAGTCCTTTGGTTGATCTCTTACCACCCCCGCCCACCCCTCCCCTGCCTTCCCTCTGAAGTTTGATGGTCTGTTCGATGCTTCTGTGTCTCTGGATCTATTTTTGTTCATCAGTTTATGTTGTTCATTGTATTCCACAAATGAGTGAGTGTTTGGTGTGTCCTCTCATCCACGTCCTCAAGTTGGGCAGAGCTATGGGTAGGCCCATCCGTGATATGGAGGGGATCATGCCCACCTCACAGAACCTGGGATCGAGGGAGACATTGCCGAGTGTGCTTAGTAACAGCGCCTAGCATGTAGGAAGTGCTCATTAAATGTCTGATGGTGACTGTTGTGGGCAGTTCAGCAGCATCAACTTCATGTGACTCAAGAACTCTGATGCTGTCAGATATTAAGCTCTTGTCCAAGCCTAAAATACGATAAATCCAAGAGCAGGTCTCTTCTGGCTTCAAGTCCCATGTTCTGCCACTCTGTGAAAACAAGGGGTGTGAGGCCCTTGGGAAACATGGTAAGCAGCTGTCCCACGTGTGGGTCAGAGACAGTGTCCCGGTTTTGTTGGCTGGCACCCCTTCTGCATGCATTTGTGCCATTCTCAGTTGAGGATAACTTATTCTCTCTTGTGACCAAGGGACATGCAGGCCCTCACCTCGTTAAGTATCCAAGCCTAGTTTTATTATCATTGTAATATCCTTAGTTTTGATATTGTTGAATATTAATTAATTAACCGGAAAGGAGCAAAAGGAAAGGCCAGATAATACAGGCATGCCATTCGTGCCAGAAAGCTGCAGCTTAATACTCTCCAGGTCCATTCCCCGCAGATCCTGGGGGAAGGGACTGGACAAAGAAAGAGTAGACTCATGCAGTAAAGTCTAAATGATGTAGAGAGGAAGCTTGTCTGTCAGTCACACGTGGGAGAT